TTCCCTACAGCGGTGTTTGAAACCTTCTAGGTCTGCAGTGATGAGTTTAAACTAGAAAGCGAAGATGTTTGTATGAAGATTTGATAGGCAGAATAATTGCGGAGGAACTTGATTTAGTCGCTTCGTTTTGGGAGGACCTTATAGTGTATTGATTCAAGTCAATACTTAGATCTTGAGCACGTAAGGAATAGTTTTATAGGGATGAAAGAGATGGAGGAAATTCTAATACATCAGTTAGAGAAGAGAGAGAGATCCCCGCTAGGTGGTGGGGTGGTGTTCAGAGACTAGAGAAGGCTACACGAGAGACGTGACGTTTGAATTGGGCCCAGAAATATTCCCACCCCTGAACACAGGTGGTTATGGAAGGTCCTGTTGATAGAGCATCGTAGGCATGAGAGTCAGAGAGAAAACACCTTGAGCTAGCACCTTGAGCGTGTATGAGGATGTAATGCTGGATAGTATTTGAAATGGTTTTAATTCCCAGCTGAGGAGTTTGATCTCAATTCATCAAGGACTGCAGATCCATCGAAGGTTTTGGAACCATGAAATTGACGTTGATTGATTCCATAAACACTTATCCAGAGCATTATGTTAGGCATTGCAGCTCAGCTGAGACAGAAGCAGGGTCTAATAACATCAGGGGCAGTCAAGGTCTAACCTTTAGTTTCCTTTCTAAAAACTTTTTCATACCAATAATAATGATGATAGCTTCTGCAGTGCAGGCACTGTGCTAAGTAACTCATCCTTACAGTAACTGACCTGGATGTATTATTATTCTTATTCTTATTATTTTTTTTTTTTCGGTATGCGGGCCTCTCACTGCTGTGGCCTCTCCCATTGCGGAGCACAGGCTCCGGACGCGCAGGCTCAGCGGCCATGGCTCACGGGCCCAGCCGCTCCGCGGCATGTGGGATCTTCCCGGGCCGGGGCACGACCCTGTGTCCCCTGCATCGGCAGGCGGACTCTCAATCACTACGCCACCAGGGAGGCCCAACTTGGATGTATTATTGATCCCTGTTGCAGAGATTAGGAGATTGAGGTTTAGCGGAGGCTAGGTGCCTTGCTCACGACTCAGTGGCAGAGCTAGGATTTGGACCCAGGGCCATCCTGTCCCTAAGTTCATTCTACCGGTAGTGCTCAGTGCGGCCCTGTATTGCGTCTCTGCTGTGTCACGCTGCCAGGACGCCCTCTCCGTGAGCGTTGCTGCACTTGGGGTGCTCTGTGTTTGCCCCCAGGGTGGATGTTCCTCCTCTGCTGAGTTCCCAGTTCTCTTATTAATACTGTAGGTATTCCAGGCCCTGGGAGATCACCTATTAATGTAACTTGACACGTCTCTCTTCTCACCTATCGTGTATTTATCAGTTTATGTACTTTCATGTCCTGGAGTGGGGCATCTCACACCTGTTTGTGTGCTTCTGGTTTACCTGTGTGACCTTGAGTTACGCCTGCAGTGCCTGGATCTATTGTACGGTAGGGTGAACCGCATGGCCTCTGAAATCCCTTCTGTTTGGGGGGTTAGGCATCCACAAAGAGGAATAGTGGCTACAGGATTCTTGGATGCCAGGGAGAGTGTTGTGAAAAGGACAGGTCATTCTTTTCAGTGCTGACCCCTGACCCACCGTCAGTAACATTCATGTTCGTAAGCTTTCTAATAATCTGGCTTCGTGGACCTTGAGTTCTACCTGACATCAGTGAACTAGAGATGTAGCCAGAGCCTCTGAGTTGCTCGATTTTAGAACTGGTCCACTTTCAGAGCAGCCTCTTTCATCGCTTTCTGCATCTTTCTACCTTTGAACCTCCTTACCTCGCTCCCCCACCTTCCCTAAGATCTCTAACCATTCCTATTTTCTTTTTATCACTTAGGACTGGGTCCCCACTCCAGACCAATTAAATCAGAATCCGGTGGGATGGGGCCAAAGACACTGGCGTTTGGTAAAAGCCCCTCTGGTGATGGCATTTGCGTTCAGGGCTGAGAACCACTGTGTGTCTTGCCACTGCTGCCCTCATTTCTCCCTTTTAATGATCAGTCCTAACTAAGCGTGAGAGGTGTCTGTGAATCTAATAATTTTAAGGAGTGCAGTACTAGTGGCTATTTGTTACTTTTTGTTTTTAATGAAAATTTTGTGTGCATCCTAATTTTTATATTAGTTCACACTGGACTGTCTTCAGTCCCAGGTCTCTGAATCGGTCCGATTGATATGATAACTTAATGTCAGTTAAATACGGTTAAAGTTAAAATACACGACCAAGAGGTCTATATTTGAATTCCATTTGAATTTTAAAAGGGATTCAAATTGTGGAATGATACAGTAAGATTCTTAAAAAGATATACATATACTTATGTAAACAGTCAAGCACACAAGAAGGAAAAAAGGAAACTGAAAAAATATAAAACTGTTTAATGATTATGAGATTTTTCTCTTGTCATATCTGCGTTAGAAATTTTCTGTAGTGAATGCGTATTTCTTCTATATTAAAAAAAAACGATCTTGAAAAGAAAATATACCCGAGACAAAGTAGGGGTGTGTGTGAACGTGTGTGTTATTTTTAGCTCTTGAAGCTAAACTATTCTGAGGGGGCATTGAGAATAGTACCATACTGAGAGTGAGTTCATAGCAAGGCTTGGCACACAAAAGCTAGGATTTGGATCCTTGTTATTTTTGTTTTTGCTTATTATAGCTAAGCTAAACTCCTCTCATCTGATGGTTGGTATTTTGCTTTGCTGAACAAGTGAGAGTCATGAGATGATTAGTCCATAACAGGGGCACCAGAAAATGATGACATGGATAATTTATTGTTTGGTTTTTAATGACGAGGGAGTAATTTTAACAGTAATATCTGTTATTGGTGGTGCTTTCTGAAAAACGATTATACCAGGAACAGAGTGTTGGCCTAGTATCTGTTCATCTTTTTTGCAGTGGCTCATCACTGGAGCAATGCTTAACGTGTGCATTTGAATTTCAGTTTTAAATAAGACACAATTAGAACAAGTGGTTTAGACCAAAACTTAGCAGTCGTTAATCATCTCTGGGTACTGTTGTCAAGTAATTTTAGTAGTACTTAAAAAATAAAATCAACACGCTCAATTTCTAATAGATGTTTTAGTTTCTACCCTTACTTTTGTCAAGGTAGGTTCCTTTAAAAATAAGAAGGGTGGAGAAACTACTGCCGAGATAATGAGAAAACAGTACTGTGTGGTAATATTTCAGTACGATGATTTCTTCTGAAATGCTGTTTCAGTAATCCTTGGGGAAATTTGGCTGTGAGCATGCAATTATTACATTTTTATCCACAGAATGGGCTAAAGTTGGCATCGCATCCTTCATGGTAGTCAAAGGCAACACATTGATTTAATTTGTGACCGCGTGGCGGATACTTTTGAATAATTTTAGTGATTTTTTTTTTTTTTTTTTTTTTAATGCTACATTTTCTGTTTCCTCCCCAGTTTCCTACCTTTTGTCGCTCACTACTCTTTCTGATTGAGTTCTGAGGCATCTTTTGTTGGTTGGGGAGAGTAGAATAACTGAAGGTCCAGATGATTGTCCAAGAGGTGGCCCCTCTTGTGTCCCAGGCAGGGGTGGGGGAGTGCAGGGCGGAACGCTATCTGGAGCCAGCCTGCGGGGAAGGTCAGTCCTCTTGCAGATTGACAGAAACAGAACACACCTTAGTTAGGCATGTTTGAACCCTGACTTGGAGCCGGAAAAATGTACCTTAAGAGAGCTGCGTTTGGGGGGATTTTGAATTCTTTTGGAGTAGTAGAATTGTGACTTCTTTTTTAATTTATTTTTTTAAAATTAATTTTATTAAAGTATAGTTGATTTACAATGTTGTGTTAATTTCTGCTATACAGCAAAGTGACTCAGTTATACGTACACATATACATTCTCTTTTATATTCTTTTCCATTATGGTTTATCACAGGAGATTGAATATAGTTCCCTGCGCTATATACAGTAGGACCTAGTTGTTTATCTATTCTGTATATGTAATAGTTTGCATCCGCTATTCCTAAACTCCCAATACACCCCTGCTCCACCCTCCTCCCCCTTGGCAACCACAAGTCTGTTCTCTCTGTCTGGAATTGTGATTTCTTAAAGCGCTCACCTCCCCTGTTCTATTTCCTGCTTGTGCCTCTGATATTGTTTTATATGAGTGTGGGCATTTCTTCTCCTAGGTCAGGGGTCACAGAGGGACAAGGGAAGAGCTGGCCGGCAAGGCATCCTTGCCAGCCGAAGGGGCAGGCACATTACACTAGTTTGCATTACTTAAGGGCTTTGGGGTGGGTGTGCCTTTCTGAACAGCGCTTGCATACGTTTTCCAAAGCCATTTTTGTGTAATAGATGTTTGGTTAATAAGTATATCCTTAAGATAATCAGAAAGAAAGAAAAAGTTCTTACATTCATTGTATCTGGAAATGGTTTTTTTTTTTTTTTTTTTTTTTTTTTTTTTTTTTTTAAATGCAGAGTGGACACAAATATCTACCAGGTATCTTCGAGAGCAGTTGGCCAAGATTTCCGACTTTTACCACCTGGCTTCCAGCGCAGGCGATGGCCCTGTCCCTGTGCCGCCCGACGTGGAGCAAGCAATGAGGCAGTGGGAGTACAACGAAAAGTTGGCATTCCACATGTTCCAGGTAACATTCCCACGAAACTCAAAGGCTGCTAGCATGCTTTTAAGAGGAAAGCAAATTCCTTACAGTTGAGTTTTTTTTTTTGGGGGGGGGGGCGTTAAATTATATCACTATATGAACTAATACATTCAAAGAAAGCCATCTGACATATCTCACACTAAATTATATTAAAGGTAACACCTTTGCCCTGAGATGACAGCTTCCTATTATACATATTGATCGCCAGCTTTCAATGATGCCAGCTCTTTTAATGCCATTAATTGGTTTGTAATTGAGCTATTAAATGGAATCTTCCCAAGCCATTTACTTTGCAAAAACTGGAGGCATTAATTCAAAAAAATTTTTGTGCTGATGCCTCCTGTCTTATATATAGTACATCTCCTTTAGAGCTTAGTTATTCCAATGAAAGGTCATCTTAATTTTGTTCAGCTGCAGTTTAAAATGCAGTTGAGAGGAGGGGTAAGGGCATTGAGGAACGACTGAACTCCCATCCTGACACGCTGATGTACATCATATTGACCAGAAGAGGGCGCTTGTGCTGTTATTTGCCTCGATTGATCTTTACTCCCGGCGTGGAGGAAGGACGAGTGTGTTCAGCTGGAGTTGTGTTATCAGCATAGACGTTCACGACCTGCTATCTTGATCAAAGAGGAAGGGGGTAGAAAGGATGTGTGGTTTCTAAATTTCCCCCCTTCGAACTTCAATTACAGTTTCCAGGTGGTAAGCAACTTTTTCTAAGAGCTCAAAGTAGGAAACTCCCCGGGTCCTTTGGGAAGTAACGTTGTTAGTTTTAAATCAGTAAAAATAACTCTTAACCAATTCTAGTTCCATTTAGCAGAAGACTACCTCGGTGCCTGCTCTGAGCTTTTATGACTTTTTTTGAGCTGAGGATTTAGTCTGCATCTTTGAAAAAAGTGTCTCTCAGCATGCTTAGTATTTTAGGAAGGATTACTTTGTGTATTAGGAACACTGAGATCAGTATCTCTTTTTTGGAAGCAGTTAGGTAGGTCCTAAACGGATGAATCTAACTGGGACGTTAATTTAAAAGTTCATCATATTTTAATTCACCTTATTCTGAAACACGAAACTGTCTCTAGTATGTACATGTGCAGGTGTGCATGTGCAGAGATAAGGGTACAGGTACATAACAAAAGCATCTTGAGGATGGACATTATGTAGTCGTTGGAAGTCATGCTTATGAGGATACTTTTTCTTTTGAACCTTGCCTTCACAATCTCTTAATTCTTCATGTAAGGTTCCATTTTATTTATTTCTTTAACTTAAAGTTTACTTTATTGGGCTGAAAATTATAAATTGCACTTTTTCTGTGGCTAACCTTTTAACTTTTTTTTGACTGTAAGCATTTAAACAAAATAGAAATTAGCAGTAAGTGAACACTTTGCTATCATGTCCATGTGGTGTCGCTGCAATGTTTTAAAGATAGAAACTATAATTTAGCAGTATATTTTTACACAAATCATTGATAGCCATGGTAGTGGACCACTGGTGATACGTAGATATGTCAGAGTTGCTGAGAACAAAGTAGGACTTCATATTAACTACTAAGGTTGTTAACCAGAATGACCATAAAAGTTTAAGTGGCTTTCCCAGAAAGCATAGCTTTTTGTTTCTATCTTGAAGATTCTTTTATGATGTGAATCATAATACAAGGTTATAACATGACATTAAATATGTGCGTGCATAGAATGCCATAAAGAATGTGTGTATTTATATGTACATACATAGGAAGACAATAGATGAAAATGTTAACATTGCTTATGTTAAGAGGAGCTACACCAACCCTGTGAGGCATTTTGGAAATTTATGGGTATGTTGTTTTTTAGTGTAGTTATGTCAGAATATTTATACGTTATTTTATTACAAATTCCTTTTATTTCTTTATGTTACAGATAATTAGGCCATTATATTGACTTTTAAGGTTATATTTCGCAGGTAGGTTATGGTAGCTGAAATTCATCTTAGGATAGAGAAGGAGGCTACTAAGGGGCCTTGGATCTGATAGGATTTCCAACCTCTTTTCTTTTTTTCTTTTTGCGGTACGGGGGCCTCCCACTGTTGTGGCCTCTCCCGTTGCGGAGCACAGGCTCCGGACACGCAGGCTCAGCGGCCATGGCTCATGGGCCCAGCCACTCCGCGGCATGTGGTATCCTCCCGGACCGGGGCACGAACCCATGTCCCCTGCATAGGCAGGCGGACTCCCAACCACTGCGCCACCAGGGAAGCCCCCAACCTCTTTTTCTGAGCCGATAGTACGATGGGTATTTTTGTTCTTTGTAATTACTACCATTGGCCAAGTTTCCTCCTATGAGTATGAGTTCATAGTACCCTGAAATCTAGCTAGGTATTTGACGTGGCTTGGGAGTCTGAAAGCTTCTGAATTTTCTTTCTTGTAGGAATTAATTTTTATCAATTTAGAATGAAGCAGATATACAAAACCCAAAGAACAACAGCAACAACAAAAACCCTCCAATCAACCATACAGAGTAGCACCAGTTCTTTGCTTTGTTTAGAATTTAAACTTTGATCAAGGAGACCATGTTTTACTACAACAACAAAAACAATAGTAAAATTACACTTAAGCATAAAGATAAGACTGCTCTTTTTTTTGAATTTTAGTTGGTTTTGTTTTAACATTATTAGTGTAATTTTTCTTTGTTCATTTAAGGAAGGAATGCTAGAAAAACACGAGTATTTGACGTGGATCTTGGATGTGTTAGAAAAGATCAGACCAATGGATGATGATCTTCTTAAACTCTTATTACCACTAATGCTGCAGGTACAGTACATGTAACCATGAGCCAGTTGATTTTATGGGCAAGGAACGAGTCTGATGAGAATGTTGAGGTAAGTGGAGGTGGAAGAGGAAAAATTTTCTTTTTGAAATGGAAGGAGAAAAGGTCTTGATGCTCCAACACTTGAAGTGATAAGAGGCTTCTTGTAAGTTGTAGCAGTCATTTGCTGGGCTGCGTGTCCCTTTCAAGTATTCGCACCCACATTGATTTCCCCCCTTCCCTGAGCTGAGCAAACAGCTCTTTAAATACTGTCTCCTTGTTCACACAGATTTCTGTGAAAACAAAACAAATCGTCTCTTTGTAAAAGGATACAGAGGATCTTCTGCATTCTTTTGATATTCTTTGAGCCACTGGGGGTGGGAACTTCCTAGTTTCATGATTGGCCTAAGATCTGTTAAAATTTAGGCTATCTGGATGAAATTTATTTAAAAAAAAATTTCTTGGAAAGGTAGTTCATGCATTTGACAATTCCAGCAGTATGAAAGAGTATCGAGTTGAGAAGTCATTCTCTCTCTCACCCAGTACCCTCCCAGAGACCACACCGTACTAGTGCCCTGTGTCCTCCCCGAGACGTCCGTATCTGTGCTGTCCACTCTAGTAGCCGCTAGCCAGACGTTGCTCTTGAGCCCTTGACAATGTGACAAGTTCACATCGTGACGTGCTCTTGATTTAAAGTGCGCACCAGGCTTCAGACTTGGTACGGAAAAAGGAGTGTATAATATCTCACTGATACTTTCTGTGTTGAAATGATAGCATTTTAGACTTAGGTATATTGGGCTGAATAATACATCATTTTTTTTCTGGATATGTGCCCAGGAGAGGGATTTCTATATCTTATGGTAGTTCTATTTTTAGTTTTTCAAAGAATATTTATTCTGTTTTCCATAGTGGCTGAACCAATTTACATTCCTACAAACAGTGTGCAAACTCTTTTCAGCAATTATTTTTTATTTGTTTTTTTTTTTTTTTTTTTTTTAGTGGCTACTAGATAATTTAAAATTACGTATGTGGCTTGCGTTATATTTCTGTCGGACAGCGCCAGTCTATGTAGTACTTTGGCAGGGGTTTGTTTGTTTGCTTGCTTGTTTTTAATGAAGAAAAGCCTGTATTACGATAGCTGTCTCACCGAGTAGCCTAAGACATGACTGAAGTCTGGTGTCCTTGTGCTCCCCAGTATTCAGATGAGTTTGTCCAGTCGGCCTACCTGTCCCGCCGCCTTGCCTACTTCTGTGCCCGGCGTCTTGCGTTGCTGCTTAGCGATGGCCCCAACCTCCTTGCCGCCCACTCGCCCCACATGATGATAGGACCAAACAGCTCGGGCATCGGGGCCCCCAGTCCCGGCCCCCCCGGCCCCGGCATGAGCCCCGTGCAGCTGGCCTTCTCCGACTTTCTCTCCTGTGCACAGCACGGCCCCCTGGTTTATGGACTTAGTTGTATGTTGCAGGTAAGTCCTTGGCCCTTCCTGTTTTATGTTAACATCCAGTCCAGGAAACAACTGAGTTGGGAGTCTTTAAGATCCAAAAGGCTGACCAGGCTCTGTTCAGCTGCCAGGCATCACTGCTTGAACATCTAGTAGCATGTTGGCAGCTGGGCTGATGCCACCAGGCGTGAGATGCAGCCTTGTCCTAGCTCTAGGAGTGCACAGGTCAGTGTTCAGGTCACGTTTCTCGGGCTCCTAATGTGTCCTGCTCTTTACTAAGGGGCTTTGGGACAGGGCTGGCTACGGAGTCACGGTCTCTACTCTGGTAGAGTTTACTGTTTTGTCCGGAAACAGACAGGCTCATACAAGGGCAGTTTCCATGTTCTGTGACAAGGGACTGGTTGGTGGAGGGATGTTCAGGGGGCTGAGTTGAGGAGTGGAACTTCTAGGCCAACCTAGAATTCAGGGATGTTTTCTGAAGGAAGTGGTCCTGACCAGTGCTTATAATATGGGTTTAAAGTGTTCCTGGCAGAAGGACAGCGTGGGAAAAGGCCCAGAGGGTTGATCAGTCATCCTGTGTGCAGGTTGGTCTTAATAGAATACATAAAGTGTGAAATCTGTTGGGGGTCAGGGTGTAGAAGACCCCCTGTGTGCCTTCTGATTAGGATGTCATTGGAGGGTTTTATGTGGGGAGTGACATGGTCAGTTGTGTGGTTGGTTAGATTGTTTTGGCCACAGTAGAGGGCAGATCTGTGGGAGTGGGGAGGTGGGGGAGAGAGAGACAAGGCAAAAAATAAGTTTGGACGAGTCGAGGTCAGCTCAGTTTTGGACTGTCTCATCCCTTGTGATCTCCAAGTGGTTATGGTCAAGAGGTGGTTACATGTCTGGTTCTGAAGACGTGGGCAGACAGGACCAGGTGTGTGGATTTGGGTCCCTCAGGGCCACTCGGCTGGTCAAGACCCCGAGACGGGGGGCGATTACCTAAAGAGTTGGTAGCGAGGGGACGACCTGTGGACCTGAGCGGCACAAGTGGTTAAAAGGTAGCAGAGGGGAAGCTCACAGAGGTGACCAGGAAAGTCTGGCCAGACTGGAGAGAGAAGAATGGGGG